GAAGAATCTTTATTAAAATCAAGTGCAGGCCACCTGTCTTTGCATAGAGATTCCCACACACAATCAGACCCGCATAGCTCCCTCCAAAACCTGGAGCAACTCCCCAATGAACACACATCAAAAACCTGAAAAGAAGATCATTTTTTTATTCAGAATACACATCCAATAAAGATTAATACAACCCAAATTAGAAACAAAAAGGTCAAAAAAAACACTGAAAAAGTTTTTTTATTGAAGAAAATGCTTAAAATTATTAATTAGTGTAAAGCAGAAAAAAAAAAGAAAAGACATGATACCTGAAGGGATGAAACTATTTTGAGGGAAATATCATGTGGGAGTGAATTCTGAATACTCTGAGATGGGCTCATTTTTCTGGGTTTTTCCTTCAGAGAGAAATTTTTCTTGGAATGGAAGGAAAAAGAGGATACAGTCTGCTTTTCTGATGTTTTCTGTTAGAACACGTAACCAGCACGTGGTAAAAATTTAAACAGAATGAAATTATTTACACACGTCGACGTCGATTAAAATCAAAATTTGTAAGTCAAAAATTAAAAATTAATTTTAACCATAAACTTCTTGACATCCGCAACTTTTCAATAGTACATATTATAATTTTTTTTAATGAAAATCTATTTTAATCTATACCAAACAAGGGCATATTTTAATATGCAACACCGAGACTCTTCTTGAATTAACTTGTATGTATTACAATTATTTGTGTTTATTTATTTTTTAAATGTTAATATGATCTTCTTTTATTTTCTATTCTAGACATCGAGGTTCTTTAATAAAGCTTTTAATAAAAAAATTTGATAAAAATTGGTAAAATGTAGGATTAAAATGTTTATTAAAATTGTGAGTTGTTATGTAGTTAAATTAATTATTGATTTTGACCACAATTTTTTAAACTATCTCAAACAAGCATTAAGAGTGCATTTGATTGTGAGAATTTTATTCCTAAAAGGGACTTAATTGTTCAACTTTCATAGTTTTAGGTCCTTATTGTTCAACTCTCATTGTTTCAGTCCTTCCTAGTAATAATCATAGTTTGTTTTTCAATTCGTTACGATTTTCCCTCTTTCTCTTGGTCTATAAATAGACCACCATTGTTGTACCTTCAATGGCGAGTAATGAATAAAATTTGTTGATTCCGTTTATCTGAACNCCCTCTTTCTCTTGGTCTATAAATAAACCATCATTGCCGTACCTTCAATGGTGAGTAATGAATAAAATTTGTTGATTCCGTTTATCCGAACATGGTATCAGAGCAGTGGATTCTAGAATTCCAGAACTGAAAGCTGCGTATCCATTTGAAGAAGAAGACGAGTAGCTTGGAACTGAGCTGCTATGGCGAAGAATCAAAATGTAGATCTGTTCCCTACTGAGCTGAGGAACAACCAGACGATTCAAGGAAATGGAATGGAGAATGATATGAATATTTCAGACCCATTGTTTCTTCATAGTTCAGATCATCCAGGGATGACATTGGTTACAGTGCCTTTAATGGGTAAATTTTTTTTGGCGTGGAGTAGGTCTGTTAAAATTGCCCTTGGTGCGAAGATGAAGTTAGGGCTTATTGATGGAATTGTTGA